TTGCCCCTCAACTAATCAATAAGCGGTGGTGTAAATTTTTTATCTTTATTAACACAAGCAGGAGTTAAAAATAGCACAGGGAAAGTTACAGACCACCAGTTGGATGAGAAAAATACTATGTTTGTTTCCTATTGCTGCTTTAATAAATTACTGCAAATTTAGTGGCTTGAAACAACACAGATTTATTATCTTACAATTCTAGAGGTCAGAATTCCAAAATAGGTATCGCTGGGCCAAGGTCAAGGTGTCATCAGAGCAGCATTCCCTTTAGGGGAGAACACATTTTTTGCCTTTCCCAGCTTCTAGTGGCAGCCTCATTTCTTGGCTTGTAGTATTTTCATCTTCGAAGTTAGCAGTATAACATCTTCAAATCTCTGACTCTGACCCTCTGCACCTGTCGTCACATCTCCATCTCTAATTCTGATACTCCTGCCTTCCTCATGTAAGGACCTGTGTGCTTACGTCAGGTCCACCTAGATAATCCAGAGTAATCGTCCCACCTCAAAATCCTTAACATAATCACATCTGCAAAGTCCCCTTTGCTGAATGAAGTCATATAGTCATGAGTTTTGGGGTTTAGGATGTGGACATCTTTGTGGAGCTATCATTCTCTGTACCACAGACACCTTGCTCAGAGGACAAGTGCAGCCATTATGTTCCACTCCATGGTGGGGTAGGGGGGCAGGGCAGGAGGGAGATGGAAGAAACATCAAAGCCTTTTATCACGTGCCTGTGCCAGGTCCTCTTGCTCTTGTTGTTGCTGTGGCCTGCACAATGGGATGTTTAAAAGCTCCTCAGGTGGTTCTAGCATGCCCCCAAATTTGAGAAAAACTATGACAGAAGATATGCCCAGAGCATATGTTGCTGCAATTGAGGGTAAAATCTGCCCTGTGAGTCCTGTCTCAGCCCTGGGTGCACAGTACTGTCAGCTGGGGAGATTTTTAAAAATATTTATTTTGAAATGAGAATAGAGCTGCAAAGAGTGTACAGAAATTTCTGGTATATTTTTCACCCAGCTTCCCCTGATATTAACATCTTATATGACCATGGGACATGTATCAAAACTAAGAAATCAACACTGGTTCAGTGTTAGTTGCTCAATGGAAGACTTTATTCAGATTTCCCCAGTTTTTCCACTAATGTACTTTTTTTTGTTGTTCCAGGATCCAGTCCAACATTTCTCATTGCATTCGGTCATCATGTCTACTTAGTCTCCTCCCATCTGTGTCTATTTCTCAGGCTTTCCTTGTTTTCTCAAGACCTTGACACTTTTGAAGAGTACTGGTCAGGTACTTTGGAGAATGTCCCTTAATTTGGGTTTGTGTAATATTTTCTCATGATTAGACCAGGCGTTATGGATTTGGGGGAAGAATATTACAAAGGTGAGATGCTCTTATTAATCATATCATAGAAAGGGGGGATGTGATATCAACATGGCCCATTACTGACGTTAACTTCGATTGTTTGGTTAAGGTGAATTTGCCAGCTTTCTCCACTGTGAAGACACAATTTGTCCTTTTCCATACTCTATTCACTAGAAGTGAGTCCTAAATGCAGCCCACCCTGTAGGGGAGAGGGAGTGTCTGGGGATTTTATTCCCATCACTTCAGTTAGTTAATCTTCACCGTTTTATTATCACTCCACTGCTTTGTACAGAGATTGTTTTAACAAGCTAGACTATCCCGGTGCTACCCAGCTAGTAAGTGGTAAAGTCAGAACTTGAACTCGTTTCTATTGGCTCCAAAGGCCATGTTCTTATTTTCATTTCATTTCATTACCAAGTAAAGAGGTGCTCCCTCCCAGCTTGCCCAGATAGTGCTTTTCAAATTAATCCATAGACTGTGACCCATTAATGGGTGATGAAATCAGTCTGTGGGGTGCATTTTAAATAATAAAACAAAGTAGAGACTATAACAGAATAGAAAAGGAACATAGTTTTCATAAAACTTTTGTTTCTGTAAACTCTTTGTGCTTAAAGACATTTATCTTTACAGTGAGAAGAAAAATAGCTCCACAAGCCCACACACAGGGCTTTTATGAGGGCTAAATGAATTGACACGGGTAAAGGGCTTAGAACAGAGGCTGACACATTAAGCAATATATAAATATTATTATAAAGTAAGCATGTGCATAAATGAGTCATGATGTAAAATATATTTCTTACATTTCTGCAACTAGAAAATTTGAAAATACTGAACTCCCATCTTTAGACCGGGGTTGGCAGACTTATGACCTCTTAGCCCACTGTCTGTTTCTGCAAAGTTTTATTGGGACACAGCCACATTCATTTGTTACATATTATCTGTGGGTATTTTAGAGCTACAATAGCAGAATTGAGTACTTAGAAGTGAAACTGGGTGGCCCACAAAACCTAAAATATTTACTATCTGGCCATCTAGACCAATGTCCCTGCCTAGAGGTCATCTCATAATACAAATGATATTAGACACTTCTTTCTGGGCCCTGTGGCCCTGTCCCGCCATTGCCCTGGCAGGCACCCCTGCCCCTGCAGGCCACTCCAGGCTGTGTGACTCCCCAGCTCTTGGGTATTCAGAAGCTTATTACTCTCCTACCTTGGACCGATGCCCACACATTATTTATCTACCTCCACGGCTGTTCATAGTGGAAGGCTAGAAATATGGTGCATTGGTCAGGGTCCCAGCAGAAAACAGATGGTCACTCAAATTAGAATAATTCAGAGTGTTAAATAAAGAGGCTATTTACAAAGGGAAGGGCAAGGTGTGGGAAAGCTAGGAGGGATGGCAGAGTCCTTAGAGTCTAGTAAAAGGAGAGCTCTTACTGGGAGGGGCCAGGGAGAGGGAGCAATTTCTGAATCTGGAAGGAGCCAGTCATTTAGAGAATATACCTAGGAGAAAGCTGAGACTTTCAGTGCAGGGATGGAAAGCCAATTCCAACTGACCCCACAGAAAATAACTGCCTTGACCTCACTTTCCTCCCTCCCTCATTTCCTGTTTGGGTCCCCACTGGCCAAACTAAAATGGAAGTCAGAGAACATAGGATCCATTGATATGGTCCACATGGGTCAGCTTATGGATCAGCTTAGAGAACAGTGTGGAAGGTTGGAAAGGGGATCTAGAGGGCACACCTCACTCTCTTGCATGCACAGCCAGGTGTGCACACCCTCCTATAGCTCTTCAGAATTCCCCCACTTCATCTCTCCATGTTGGGAGCATGGCCTGAACAACAAAGAGCTCATATAACTTTTACCTTATACTGCCTTCCTTTCTGAGAGCTGCTGGCTCCAGATAGTCATCATGAAGTTAATCTTCCTGGATCTTATCCTTGTGACAGGGGTGAAAGGTCATGAACAGAGGCACAGATAAACTGCTGGGGTTTGCTGTCTGAGCAGGGTCTGAATAATATGTAGAGATTTTAGCCAAGTTCTTCCTCACAGCCCATCCTTCTATCTCGGGAAGGAGCTGTGTCTCATTCTACTTTGCAGTCCAGCTGAAGTCCAACAAAGAGGTGAGTCAACCTCTGGCACCTTGGGAGAAAGAACCAGAGTGGGGAAAGCTACCTGGGCTGACAAATGTCCCAGAGTAATCCGTTCCCACTGGCCAGACCCCAGTTCCCCCTCCACTAGCCCAGACTTCCTCGGCTGGCATCTGGCATCTCACAGGCCCCCAAATACAGCCATAAAACTACAGCATGTCACCCAGAGGGTCTTTCCTGGCCAGTCTACACACTGATTTTACAGATGAGAAATCACAGGCTCACGGGAAGAAAGGGGCTCACTTACGTAGCCCAGCCACTTCTTAGCAGAGCTGAGGCTAGAATTCGAGACTGGGGAGTGTAATCTGTTTCCATCTTTCTCTTACACAAGATAGAAGCTGAAGTCAACCTTGGGGCCTTGGAAATGGACTTGGCAAAAATTCTAAATGGTGTCTTAGTCTTAGGCAAGTTTCCTTGTCAGGCTCAGCTGCTGAGGCCACACATCTGAACCTTTGGCCGCCGAGACAGTAGTTGTGTGCAGACAGGACTAAGCACAGGCTTGAGTCAGGCAAATGGGTCCAAATGCAGACTCCCCGCTCTTAATGTCTGTTTTACCTTAAGTAGGTTAATTTTTATGTTAATGAGTCTCAGTTTTCTAGTTCCATAAATTTGGCACTATCATCAAATACTGAGCTATATTAACTTCGTTACCATATAAGCAAGTGTCCAAAGGTCAATAAATGACACTGTCTTTTCTTTTTCCTCCAGTTGGAAGACCGATGGGGTATCTGCAACTGCTTTTACAAAAGGCTAGAAGCTAACTCGTTTGCATGTAGTTGTTATAGGGGTCCCCCGAGATGAGGCCTCCTGATGTGTCAAGGATTCCATCTCATTTTCATAGACTCAAGTGAAATTAGTACAATCTCAAGGTTCTCCTCCCTTCTACCCTGCACCTTCCTCAAATTTCTTCAGAGAAATGAAGAGCTTAGACTTATAGCTCAAGTGCTTGGGTTTTAAATTAGACAACTTTGTCCTGACAGAAACCGAGTCACAGCTGTCACACCTGATTATTTTTAGAGTTACTACTAAACTCTGTACAGCAGGGGCTGCCACCGTCCAAGGCAAACAGAAAGACTTCACATGTTATCTTGACGGCTCTGGAGCCATCCTCTTCCTCCTGTGCATTACCTTCAGCCTGTCTTTGGAAGGGATGCTGTGGCATCTTGATAATCTTATGGCCAGGAAGGCAGACCCCGTGGTTTGTTACTGCATCTGAGAGATCATCTCCTGAAGATGAGCAAAGCCCATCACCCCCAGGAAGCCAAGGAGAAATATTCCCGGGGGAAGTAGCTGCTCTATAGCTTTCTCCAGAAGAACTATCATCTTTCATGAGAAGCGAAAATTGGCCCTCAAGTAACCGACCAATAAGAGCACCTATATGCAAATGCCACAGGTGCTGGCTAGGAGTGGCCACTTTGTGAGTGATGTCACAATTCCCTCCGCTAACCCAACAATACCACCACCACTGAAAAGGCCAACACTTGACTGCAACTCTTGCAGAGAGAAAAATTCATCGCAAGCAGAGCACCTTCTAGATTGCTCCTGGAGTGTGGGGACAAAAGTTGCTACTGTCCAAGTTACTAAATACAGAAAAAAAAAAATGACTTTGTGAACATGGCAAAAGAAATCCAGCTAAGGCCCAAGGTTAATGTCTCTTCTTACATCCACTTTTTACTGAATTACAGAAACAAGTTCAAGGAGCAGCAGCCAAGTATTTACCTTGGCTTTCAAGAGTTCTCTAGAAAGTGTTCGGAAAAATGGAGATCCATCTCAAAGCATGAAAAGGCCAAATATGAAGCCCTTGCCAAGCTTGACAAAGCTCGATACCAGGAAGAGATGATGAATTATGTTGGCAAGAAGAAGAAACGGAGAAAGAGGGACCCCCACGCACCCAGGCGGCCTCCGTCGTCTTTCCTGCTCTTCTGCCAAGAACACTACGCTCAGCTGAAGAGGGAGAATCCAGACTGGTCAGTGGTGCAGGTGGCAAAGGCCTCAGGAAAAATGTGGTCTGCGAAAGCAGACATCGAGAAGCAGCCGTACGAACAAAGAGCAGCTGCCCTGAGAGCTAAGTACCATGAAGAACTGAAAGTCTACCACGCACAGCGCAAGGCCAGGAAGAACAGTCTCCAAGGGCTGGCTAAGAACCAGCGTAGACGGTCCGGTCAAGCTAAGTCAGACAAAGCTGGTGGATCCAATTAGAAATAAAATGCCATTCAATTGTACCGTCTGTCCGTGGTCTCGTGTGGTGTTAGCGGCCACTTCTGCTGCTTTGGGGAAGTGAGTGGTGTGGTGGCATTGAGATGGGGGGTTGGACACTGATCCTGGGTAGGGGCTGGCTTTTAGAGAAGTGGCGACAGTGTCCAAAGGGATGTGTGTGGTCAGTACCTACAAGGCTTGTCTTGGGCACGTGGGTGGGAGTCTCCAAGATGTAAAGAAGCTACAACTCATGGTGTGTGGTCAGTACCTACAAGGCTTGTCTTGGGCATGTGGGTGGGTCTCCAAGATGTAAAGAAGCTACAACTCATGAGGGTAGGAGCAGCCCAGGTCCGAGTGCATATCCAGGTTGGAAGGCCCTACTCAGAGGCAAGGCCTACTGAAGGCCAGGTGCATGAACACTGACCAGGAGGGTCAGAAGCCTGGAGTGCAGGCCAGGCTCCCAGTTCAGGCCCCAACAGAGGTTGGGAAACTGAAGTTTAGGTGGGCCTGAGGGGACTCAGTTTCTCTAGTAATTCCAGAACTAGTCCTGCAGCAAGGCTTAGATACTATTAGTGGGCCAGTATGAGACTCCAGTGGTGGTCCCTATTCTAGTCAGGATGAAGCTTGAGACTGATTCTACACGTCCTAGAAGCTGAAGAAAACCCTGTTGACACTTTGGTGGGCATCTTCCCAGTTGTTTTTCCGTGGCTGTAAGCATAACCCACACAGTGGAGATTTGGTGCCTTTATGACCACCCAGCATCCATCCGTTTTCCTCTTGCTCACTGCACCCCAACTCTGCCCTTACCAAGGCTCGATCAAATGAAATCTCTCCTGGCCTCAGCGATTGCCTTAGTGATGGGATGTGACCCAAGCTGGTCCAATCAGAGTGGATCTCAGGACTTGTGCAAGGAGTCCTAGGGGAGGATGCAGCCTGGGGGGAGAGGGAGGAGAGCTGATGACAGCCACTCACAGCCTCATTCTCAGGCCAAAATGTTAGTCCCTTTGGCATCAGAGCATGCTCTTGGACTTTCCACTGAAGATGCGCCCATGCATTTCATTTTTTGTCTAAGATGGTTTGAGATGGTCTGCCACTTAAACTGGTCATTTGATACAAATGGGATTGTTCTGTGTCTATACTGTAACTATTTTTCAGGCAACAATATACTGTGGGCAACAGTTTCATACCAATCAGTATAGATTCATATGGAATATTTTGAAATGGCTCTTGACTTGACATCAAAAAAACACTGGGCCAAAATGCAAAACTGCTTTTTTGTCACCAGGTTACGCATGCGACAGACTTCCCTAATTCCACCTCTAACCCTTATTCCATGATGGACTTAACCTTTTTACTCTACTGCTATTTGAACTTTTACTTTCAAAACAAAAGTAAAATTACGTATTTTTTATGTCTTTTAGAAATGGGTGAGCGTTTAGGAGATCAGAGGTAATATGGTGAAATGATGTAGAAATTCAGGGTCTAGAATCTGGCAGGCCATTTATGGAGGGATCCCATGTGCCAGATCCTGTGCTGGGGACCAGGAGGCTCAACACTACGGTTAGGTTCCTGCCCTGCAAGAACTTCCTCCTCAGGAAAGAGGTGGATGCGAGCATAAAGCACAGTACTACAAGGCAGGATGAGCAAAGTGAAAACTACACAAAGTGCTGGGGGTGGGGTGGGTGCCACCCACCAAGACAACCGCTGAAGTCTTCACGGAAGAAGCAGCTTTATCCTACTTGGCAACCTTATATGCATGCTGGCAAGATTCCAATTCCCCGTTCTGTTCCCCACAGCTGCTGTTCTAACTTGGCTCTGCCTCCCCTCCAGCCCAACCTCCACTCTCTCAGGAGACGCCCTCATTTTCTGCTTCGCTGAGAAAATAGAGATCAGACATAAGCATTCTCAATTTTCTTCTTTCTTAACGTGGAACTCACACTCATCCTTTCCTCCTGGTCTCACGTCTCAGGAGGAGCTATAAGCCTCTTGCTATCCCCTTCCCCTGCCTCCCTCAGACCCTTGCTCCTTAATGAAGAGATGCTGACCCTTCAGCCTCTACGCTTGCACAGGTTAGCTTGGTGTCGTAAATACAAGTGGCTCCAATCTTCACGTTGGCAAGACTTGGGCAAGTTCTCATTTCTGTGTCTCGGGTTTGTCATCTGTGCAATGGGGGTGATGCCTGCCTTATAGGTTGTGTTAGTGATTAAACGATGTAACACATGCAAAAGTATTTGGCAGAGTCCTTAACGCACAATAGGGACTGCGGTGAACACCCACCCTCTGGTGTGGCTGTCCCAGGGTTCCTCCATCTCCCACACCGGATGATCCTCTCCCATTAAATGTGGGCAGAACCCGTGACTTGCTTCTAACCAATAGAATGAGGCAAGGGAGATGAGATGTGACTTCTGTAGCTATGCAATGATATATAAACCTCCTCTGGCTGGTTGATTTGCTCTAGAGATTCCCCTTGCTGGTTTGACAAAGCAAGCAGCTAAGCTGGGGAAGTCCATAAGGCAAGAAACTATGGGAAATCTCTGGCAGCTGAAGGGGGCCTCACACCAACAGCCAGCAAAAAATTGAAAGTCTTAGTCCTACGGCCACCAGGAACGGAGAGCTGCAGCAAACACACAAGTGCGGAAGTGGATCTTTCCCCAGTTGAGCCTTGAGATGAGAACTCAGCCCAGGCTGGTGACTGCAGCCTTCTGAGATCTCAAGCAATGGACCCAGCTCAGCCATTACTGGATTCCTGACCTACAGAAACTGAGATAATCAGTGTGTGTTGTTTGAAGCCAGTATGTTTGTGGTTATTTGTTAACACAGCAACAGATAACTAATAAAATACTCAGTAAATGCCAGCTTCCTTATAATTCTAGAAAAGATTATCTTTAACTGTATTTCTTCCTCCAGCCTCTACCCTACCTGTTTAATTTTCTTGCCTTTGCTACCCACCAGTGCTAATTCGATCTTGACTTGAACTCCTCGGGGGTGGTTCTACTTGGGTTGTCTTATTCCAGCTTGACCTGTGGGTTCTTGGTGGGCAGCAGCTGTGTGTAACACCACGCTCCCCTCTGGGAAAGAGGGCCCCCACACAGCTGGGCCCCAGCTTTCATGCCACCCCTTTTTAGTTTCCTGTGCAATTAATTATGTGAACGTGGGTGGCCAACTCAGAGTTTTGACAATAGTTTGCAGTGCCCCTGCTGAAAAATAACTCCATTAACATTCCTTTATGAAAAAACCGACAGAAGGGCGTGAATCCGTTGGCTTCTAATGACTGTAATGTGATGACAGAGAAGGAGGAAGGAGAGAAGGAGAAGAAGGGGGAGCCTAGGCTTCAGATAATCGGTGACAGGAAAAGCAGGCGGGCAGTCTGGTGTGGCGCCAGCATTCCAGACACATTCAGCTGAACGCGGGTGCCCCTGCCCGTGGGAAGAGAGAGGCAGGGTCTTTGGACCCATCGGCCTTCACCGAATCACTCCACTCCGATTCTTCTCACCTAGAGCCTTTTCCTGTGTTCATTAATTCATTCCACTATTAATTTATGCATTCATTTGACAAATATTTCTGTAAATCTTAGGCTGATGCTATGGATACAGCAAGGTCCCTGATCTCTTACATTTCCGTGAGGGAGAGACAGATCAACAAGTCAACAAATAAACGCACCAGATCATTTTTTGATAGTGTCAAGTGTTCTGAAGAAAATAAACCAGAGTAATGAGATAAACAATGACAAGCGGGTCGAGGGCACCTTAAATTGGTGGTCAGAGAAGATGACATTTGGGTTTGAATTCAAAGGACAAGACAGAGCCAGACATGCCAGGGTCTGAGGACTGAGTGCTTCAAGCACTGGGACAGCAAGTGCAGAAGTCTTAAGGCGGAAGCAAGCTGGGTGTAATCAAAAGGACAGAGGGGGAGGCCAGAGTGACTGGAGGTGTCTGTGCTGGTGAGGTGGGGCTAGAGAGGGGCAGGCCTTGCCAAGGGGTTTATTTTGAACTCTAAGTGCAATGGGGAGCCACAGAGGGTTTTCAACAGGAGGAGTCATGTGTTTTCATCTCGACCTCTAGTTAATTGTCATTCTAGAGTCTTTAGAGACTATCAAATACAAACGATGGGATGCTAGTCCCTCCAGGGTCTGTAAGAGGAAGAGGCAAGGCTAGCAAATACTAAATTCATGACTTTTTTTCCCTTTTGGAGGGCAGATAATTAGGAGACTCTACCTGGTATTCCTTGGAGCAGCTGTCACCTAAAAATCCAATGTGAGAACTAAGTAACTTCTCCCCCTGTGATTCATTTTCCCAGGAATGGGAGGGGAAAGGGGGACATGGGTGGCAGAATATTCCAGGGTAACACTTCTTCCTAAGTCTTACATTTCCAAGTGGAACAGCTTCCACTAGACCAGTGGTTTTCAACAGGAAGCCTGCATTAGAATCACCTCTGAGTTTATTAAAACACGGATTGCTGGGCTCTAGAATTTGATTCCACTTTTCTGGGAGTCGGACCTGTACTCGGCATTTCTAAAAGTTCCCAGATCCCAGGACCCAGGACCACAGAGGAATTCTTCTCCCTTTTGCAACCGGAGAGTCACTCTGAAGAGGAGGTGTGACTTATCTGCTCCTGAGTTTGAGAGGAAGGGCCGGATGTGCTCTTCTCTCTTCTCGCGCCCCCTCCCTCAGCTGCAGTGTGTCCAGGTCTCCTCTGCAGTTGGTTCATCAGTAATAAAGGTGACAGGTTGATCTTCATTTGTCTTTCTCCTGCACCTGCCAATTGATTCTGAACTTGAAAAGGGAATAAGTATATTTATTTATTGGGGTCCCCTCAAATCCCAACAGAGAAGGTAATCCCAATGGCAAACAATCAATTAGCATCTGGGCCAGACAACGACACTGAGATCTTATAGTTGATTTCAGCCTCCACTAAAGCATCAATTGTTTGAGAACAAAAAGGTCCAGTTTTTGGACCTAAGGCTGAGGTCCATGAACAGGGTGAGGTCATCAGGGTGAAGTCACGAAGGCAGTAGCACCCTTTGGCCCTATCATGCAATTCTAATCACACTCTTGCTACCAATACCTGCCCTACAGGAGTGATGGGGAAGAAATGAAATGTCTGGGACATCATCGTAAACGAGGGCTGGTGTGTAAGAAGTGCCCTATGAATGGGGGTGTCTGCCCTGGTCTTTACAGGATGGTTTAAAGAAGGCTAGAACAA